TAGTAGAGATGGGGTTTTGCCATGTTGGCCAGGCTGGTCTTGAACTTCTGGCCTCAAGCGATCTGCCTGCCTCGGCCTCCCAAAGTGCTGGGATTGCAGGGATGAGCCACTATGCCTGACCTGTTTTATTTTTCTTTCAAATCCTGGTGAACTTCTGCTTTTGGCTATGATGGAATAACTGGTATTGGATTGTTCCTCCTGTGGTAAGCAATCACAAGACTGGACAAAATGTATGAAGGAACTATTGTCAAACAATGGAAAACAGGTGGTGCAAACCACGATCTCTGAGAGAAACTCATGAGGTTTAAGTCCCATGCTGGTGCAGCTTTCTGCCTAGGGACATTTTCCCAGCCACGGTGCAGGGAGCTGTGATTTAACGAAAGTACAGTAGTCCTCTTGAGCTGAGGAAACCTAGATCAGAGTTTGGGGTATCTGAAGTGCCTGGAGTTTACACAGTAGGGCACTAGAGTCGAGAAGCAGCACAGAATAGTGGGGAGGTCTTGAAGGGACTTCTCCCTAAGTTTTTGGCTGAGGATTACAATCGTATTCAGGGCAAGACTGCACAAGGCTTACCAGAGAGCAACTGCTACACAACTGGGTATAAGAACAGAGAAAGTAAAGGTTGAGAAGAAGTAAGGAATGCTGGAGATCCTCCGCAGCTACAGTGCAGGGACATCATTAACATCTTGTTACCACCTCAAGAATCCAGCTTTGAGACCACAAGGGCCACACCCTAAGAGTAATGCCCCATGCCTTAGAGTAAAGCCTGCTTTCTCAATCTTCTCTACAAAAGCCTAATACCAATCTTTCACAAGATGCACAGTTGAGGAGCTTTCCACATATCCACCCCAACAAAGTGTGAAGCCAAACCTACACAAGTTCAAGGTGGTCAGTCAGAAACCGATCTGCCTGTGAGAACAAAAACAAGATTATTTCTCAGAAGATAACAGAATGCAGAGTTTCTACCATGTATTATGAACAATACCCAGTATATAATAAAAGATTACTAGATATGTAGAGAAACAGGAAAATGTGATCCACAGTCAAGAACAAAAGAAATCAATGAAACTATGTCTTAGTGAGTAAGTAGATAGGGAATTTCAGCAGATAAATGGAAATATATATATATATATATATATATATATATATATATATATATAGAGAGAGAGAGAGAGAGAGAGAGAGACATATGTATGTCTATATATGAAGCAGCTATTGTCAAACATCAGGAAAAAAGGCAACACAAATCATGATCCCTAAGAGAAACTCATGAGGTATACCTCACGTTGTTGTCTGCCTAGGAAAATCTCCATGTTGAACTCCACATTCAGTTCACTCTAGAACTGAAAGTCTTCTCAGATGTGAAACACAGCAATGAACTAATTTGAATAAAAATAAGTAGAGCCTTAAGAATGGCATGTTTAAAGTGAGGAACGAAAGCAAAGAAGAAACAAAGAAAAACCTTGTTAACCCACAATTCTATATCCAGTGAAAATATATTTCAATAACTAGGGCAAAATAAAGACATTTTCAGATAAGTAAAAGCTTAAATAATTCATCACTAACAGACCTGCAACATGAGACAAGCTAAATTATTTAGGCTAACAGGAAATGATACAGAAGGAAAGTCATATTTAAGGGAGGAAAGACAAGCTCTAGAAATGGTAAATAAGAGGGTATATTTACAAGAAAATATTATTTGTTCTCATAATTTTCTCAAAAGTGAACCTACTACTAAAGCAAAATTAATAACGTTTTAATGAGATTTTTACAACATTTGTGGAAATAAAAGATATGGCAATGATAGCATGAAGAACAAGGGTTAGTAGGTAAATGGAATTATACTGTTGGAAGTTGATTCCAGACTGGAGACAAAAATTTATAATACATCGTCTGACACATGATTATATCCAGAATATAAAAATAATTCTTATAGCTCAATAGTAAGAAGTCAAACAACCCAATAAAAAGAGCAGATTTGGACACTATAGAAGAAGACATACAGATAAGCCAATAAGCATATGACCACATGCTTATCTTTCATCATTAGGGAAATGCAATTTAAAACGAGAGGGACATTCACTGACAAACCCACTAGAATGACTGTAGTTGAAAAGACTGACAACAGCAAAAGTTGGTGAGGATCTAGAGCAACCAGAATTAATGTAAAATGATACAATCTTTTTGGGGAACACTTTGGTAGTTTCTTATAAAGTTATGCATATGCTTACCATCAATTTCTCTTCTAGGTATTTGCCCAAGAGAACTGAAAGCATATGTCCACACAGGCTTGTACACATTTGTTTTAGCAGTTTTGCTTAAAATAGCCAAAAACTAAAATAATCCAAATGTTCATCAAAAGGGGGAATGAATAAACAAATTATGGTACAGCTATTGAATGATTTTCAGCAATAAAAAGGAACAAGTATCAACATACACAATAAGATGGATAAATGTCAAAGGCTTATGCTGAGCTAAAGAAACCAGGCACAAAAGAGTGTATACCATATGATTCCATTTATATCAAACTCCAGAACAGGCACAATTAATCTCTATTGATAGAAAACAGATCAGTGGTTGCCTGGAGCCAGGCGTGGGTGGATGCCTGCAGAGAGACATAAGGGAACTTTTTGGGTGATGAAATGTTCTATATTTGTCTTTACTAGGATGGAGGTTTCACAAATTATACATTTGTCAAAAATAATTGAACTGTACCCTTAAAATGGGTACAGTTTACATTATGTGAATTATACCTCAATAAAGATAGTTTAAAAATTGACATGATCACAACATTGTGGGTCGCTGTCACATGGCATTTTTACTCTTGGACATAGTTCTAGATATTCATGTCACCCAGAAATCCAGGCAAAGATAAAGGAATAATAACATGACAAAGAAAAAAGAGAAAACAAGAACTACAGTTTATAGTTTCCAAATACTTGTTAGCTTAGAAATACAATACAATAACAGGCCAGGCACAGTGGCTCACGTCTCTAATCCTAGCACTTTGGGAGGCTGAGGTGGGCGGATCAGTTGAGGTCAGAAGTTCAAGACCAGTCTGACTAACATGGTGAAACCCTGTCCCTACTAAAAATATAAAAATTAACCAGGTGTGGTGGCATGTGACTGAAATCCCAGCTACTCGGGAGGCTGAGGCAAGAAAATTGCTTGAATCTGGGAGACGGAGGTTGTAGTGAACCAAGATTGTGCTGCTGAACTCTAGATGGGCAACAGAGTGAGACTCTGAAAAAAAAAAAAAAATATCTATCTATCTATCTATCTATCTATCTATCTGGATATATTTATTTAGATATATATATCTGGATATGTATATATTTATATATATACATTTGGATATATATATATATCTAATGACATGCTGTATAATCTTTGAAGGGTAGGAAATGGCTGTTGAATGGTGATGGAAAATTGTATTAATTCATTCTCACTCTCATGCTGCTATGAAGAAATTCTTGAGACTAGACAATTCATAAAGGAAAGAGGTTTAACTGACTCACAGTTCAGCATGGTTGGGGAGGCCTCAAGAAACTTACGGTCATGGCAGAAGGCGAGGCAAACACGTCCTTCTTCACATGGCAGCAGGAAAGAGAAGTGCTGAACAAAAGGGGTAAAGCCCCTTATAAAAATCATCAGATCTCATGAGAACTCACTCATTATCATGAGAACAGCATGAGGGTAACTGCCCCCATTATTCAATTACCTCCCACTGGGTCCCTCCCAAGACAAGTGGGGAATGATTTAAGATGAGATTTGGGTGGGGACACAGCCAAACCTTATCAGAAAGTTAGTTTATTCCAGTGAATGTGGGAAACACCTTCTGGAAATAGAAAAACTGGCATCCTATCCTGGTGTGTACCATCACATAAAAAGCAATAAATCCATGATTATCAACTTTATGTGAATTAGAAGAGAGCTAAATGCACTCAACATTAAAACTCTGCTGAATAGAACTGGCTCTTGAATGACTCACCACACTTGTCATCCTTTGGGCCATCATTTATAGACATTGTACTGGCAAAAAACTGGAGATCCATACAGAGATTAACAGATATCCTCTTAGTAGAAGGTGGGCAGCAAGGGAATTTCATGCAGTTGTGTTTAAAAAGAGGCTCTTCTGAAGTATAAAAAAGTGAGTCCAATGAAGGAGATTTCAGGAACAATGGAGCCCAGTGAGGTAGGCCTAGTTTTCATCACCCTGGATCTCCTATCACCATAAGCAAGCTTTTCTCCCTATTTGCAGAGGCCAGGAGTTATTTTTCTCATCTGGTAAACAAGTTTATTTTGGTAAACAAAATAAACAATTTGCATTTCCTTGGAAAAAAATCCCATTATTTAAAGAAGTTTTGGATTTTACCTTTTAACCACTCAAAAAAAAAAAAAAAGAAGTTACAAATGAAAAAAGACAAATGAGACAAATGAACCAATTAAAATGTATTAAAATGCATTAAATGAATTAAAATGTATGGCCCTCATAATTTAAAACCTTGTTAGAGTAAACAAAATGTAAAAGCAAACAAAAAATATATAGGGAAATATGAATACTATTAAGTGAACATTGAATAGTATTCAGAAATCATTGTTAAAAATGTTTAGGTGTGATAATGGGTTTGGGGTTTCATTTTTAAAAAACCATTTTTGTGTACATACTGACGTATTTATAGATGAAACAATGTAATGTCTGGCATTTGCCACTATGTAATATGGGTGAGAAGAACTATACAACTTTAACTTAATATCAGATTCTTAAGGGAAAATAGCTCATGGGATTAATTATTATGGGTGAGTGTGAAAGTTTGTTCTAGTGCGATGCTCTGGGAAAGAGCTTTGGTGTTTCCTCTTCAAGCATCTGAAGCATGCGCCTAACCAGAGCCATAGAACAGTATAAAGAGCCCTCATAGCTTTTTATTCTTTGGTTCAGAACTGCCTTATACTCCACTGCCTTTTCCTTCTGGCCATGACTTTCACGGTCTCCATCTTACTTGGCTTACAGCTGGCTACCCTGTCTTTCCCTGGTGCTGATTCCAGGTTGATGGCTCTGATTAAGCCTTGGCACTTCCTTGGCATGCTGTTTCCAGCGTGGACTCCTTTGTCTCTGCATACACCCCAACCACAGCCAAGTGGCACGATGTTCTCCAATGTTCCCAACCTCCTGGGTATAACACTGGAAGAAGCGCCAAAGAACCTGTCTGTTTGACGACGTAGAAAGGAGACTGATGTAAATGCAAAGTTTTCACCTATAACCATCAGAATTGAAACAGAAAAGAGTGACACTATAAGTGCGCTACAATTTCACTGAGGAGTTGGATAAGCAAAATTACAGATACCACAGGAACGATCCTGGAAACTGATTAAATTAACTTTCTAGTTGTACTTTGAATTTCATCAGAATGCTATAAATTGTCATTTTAAAACCACAGTTCAAGTAATATAATATTTTTCAAACTGAAGGACATGTTCCTTTCATGGGTTGTGAAATTAATTTAATAGGCAGCCAAAAACATTTTTAACAGACCAGACTAGACTAGTCTGGAAGGAAATAAATGGAAAATATTAAAGTGAGTGATACATAGTAAGAGTGAATATACTTTCTGTAGAATTTTTCTCTTAGTTTTTCAAGTGTGTGTGTGTGTGTGTGTGTGTGTGTGTATGTGTGTGTGTATATGTGTTGTCACAGTATAAAATCAATTTCTTACTGTGGCCATTTCCAAAAATATTTGAAAATCCTTATGTAATGAATTTCTATATACGATAGCAAGAAACCAAAAAGATTCGGGGGCAAAAAAGGTAACTCCGAAGGAAAATTTCTGTCAAAACAAAATCCTGGTAATTCAATAACTAACTTGTTACCCGAATCAGAGAACTAATCCATGCCAACCAGTCAGAAACTGTAAATAACCTGGTAGAAGGAGCAGGCTACTAGATGTCACCTGATTTGTTCTTTTCATGTGGTTTTGCTGACTATGTTTTCCTGTTGAATTTAAAAGGCCCCACTCATTTTTGTTACTTGGTAACTGCTCTTTTCAGACCAGCGTTTGTCTGTTTCTAGATGCAGCCTGCAGGACACCAGCTGACAGTGGAAGGACTGAGGAAGCTTGTATAATTTTGTACAAGATCCACCGCAAGTTCAGCTGAAGAACTGCTCCAAAGTTTAGGTCATGGTAAGAACAAGGTTAGATGACATTAGTCACTCAAACACAGACTCAAGCTGCAACAACTAATGCTCCTATGAGATTGGTTATATGCCAAGGTCATATTTGGCCAAAGAACGTACGCCCTTTGAAATCCCAGCAGGCATAGACCTACAAATTCTCAACTAAGGAGATAGATGTTCATTCATTTTTACAGCTCCTGGGTGGAGAAAACTATTTCCCCCTGCCAAATTTTTCTTTTATGTAAAACTTTAAATAAGAACGAAGAGCTTTCATAGTGCCTGCAAACCTGAAAATTTTTAATACAAATCCTCTAAAAGTTTGTGTCACTCATAGCTTCTTGCTGTTTTTTGTTTGTTTGTTTTGTTACTTTTTGTCTTCTTTGTTTGTTTGGTTTTTTTAGAACCTCCTCAAAATGGACTTGCGTGTTCCCTTTCTAGAAGGAGTAAGTCCTATTCAAACCCTTTAAATCAAAGCTGGGCATGGTGGCTTATGCCTGTAATCCCAGCACTTTGGGAGGCTAAGGCGGGCGGATCACTTGAGATCAGGAATTTGAGACCAGCCTGGCCAACGTGGTGAAACCTCATTTCTACTAAAAATACAAAAATTAGCCAGACATGGTGGCGGGCACCTATAATCCCAGCTACTCGGGAGGCTGAGGCAGGAGAATTGCTTGAACCCAGAAGGCGGATGCTATAGTGAGCCGAGATTGCATCACTGCACTCCAGCCTGGGTGACAGCAAGAGTCCGTCTCATAACCAAAACCAAAACCAAAAACAACAAACCCTTTAAATCAAGAGGTGAATCCTGAATCCCCATCTGGAAGGTACTGTGGGAGGGCATAATTATGATAGAGAATCTATCTCAAAATGATATTTGGGAAATGAAATGTTCAAATTCTGACCAAGGGGATCAGAAGGAAATAATTCTGAAAGTCTTAAAAGGGGAAGGTAGGGTGGGGAACACAATTAGAGTGAAATCACAAGAAATGTGAAATGTACTTATCAGATGGCTTCACAATGTGCTCTTATTGGTGGTGTGTCCCTGGGCACCAAGGAGGCCAGGCCTACCGTATTGAAAGCAGAATGGAGGGGAGCTCAGCATGGCTCCTCCGAGCAGTCACAAGTGATTCATACGGACCCAGCTGGGGCCCCAAGAAGGGAGAGGGTGCGGTAGTGTGGACACTGTGGATTTCCAGGAACCATAGCAATCCACAGCTCCAGCTCAACAATGATGCAAACCAGGACCTTGCCAAACTGTCTTCTCCCAGAGAACAGAGTCTGCTCAGGCTTATGTTCTTGCCTCATTGCGAGTTTCAAATGAGGTGACAAGAATGGCATCTGGAACATTTCCTGGCAGAGAGGGCATTTCTCCCCTCCCCTCTCCCAGAGCTTGTTCCTTTTCTTACCTCTCTCTGTTCCTGCTTCACACTGAAAGAGCCTGGCAATGGAATGAGACCAAACCTTCGTTCAAATCCAGCCTCCCTACTTGCTTGCTTAGAGCAAATCACTGAACTCCTGTAAGCCTCAGTTTCCCCAGCAATAAAAGGAAGAGATAATAACTCTTACCTTATAGAGTCGTATGAGGATCGGGGGAATGTACATAATGTGCTCTGCAAACATTCAACACTCAAGGTCAGGGCTTCTCAACTTTGCACTTTAACATTTTGGCCAGGTCATTCTTTGTTGTAGGGGGCTGTCTTGTGCATTGTAGGATGTGTAACAACATCCCTGATCTCTACAAACAGGATACTAGTAGTACCTTCCTTCTCCTTCCCACAGTCGTGACAACCAAGAATGCCTCTAAATATTGCCAAAGGTCCCCCTGAGGGCAAAATCAGGCCTGGTTGACTATGATTTCCATCTTGCTTTCCTTTCTCTCTCTCTCTCTCTCTCTCTCTCTGTCTCTCTCTCAGTTTTGGGAAAGTGAACTGTCATGTTATGAACAGCCCAGATCACAAGTAACTAATGTCCCAAGCAAATAGCCAGCAAGCACCTGAGGCCTGCCTGCAGCCAAGTGAGTGACTTTGGAAAAGGACCCTTCCTCGATTGAGCCCTGAGATGACTGCAGCCCTAGGTGACGCACTGATCACAGCCTTTGACAGATCCCGAGTCAGAGGCACTTAGCTAAGCCATACCCCCATTCCTGACACACAGAAACTCTAAGATAATAAATGCCTATTCTTTTAAGCTGCTAACTTTTGGGGTCATTTGTAATGCAGCCATAGGTAGCTAAGACAAGGACCAACAATGATCAAGTAATATATCAGTGTTGCATGGGAAGCAGATGAGTCTATGCACATAAGAGATCTCAGAGGTGACCCCATAGGCAGATCCTGAGGTTTCCATGGTATTGGGAGGGGAGGACATTTGCATTCTTGCATCAGTATTATTTGGTTGTCCCGTATATATTTAGTGCTCTTTGTGTATATGACTTATTGAAACATCCCCTTTATCTTTGTAGGGCTGTGGCTTACCATTTAAAAATGTTAAATGAAACGTCTCTTATTCTAAATTAATTTTATCTTCTTATTCACTATATATGAATACATTTTTCTTGACTATCATCAGTGGTATACTAGTTTGTGTTCTCATTTTCCTAAACATATTTTATTATAAATGTAGCAAACAATTAATATAAAGAATATGAAACAGTGGGGGGAAGCAGAATGTTAATGAGAATTAACCATTATTAACAATTTAGTATGTATCTTTCCGGGTATTTTCCATGAAACACAATTACACCACATAAATACGTATTTTTTTTTCAAGATTATTTGGTTTCAAGGGATAGAAACCAAAGCAAACTGGCTTAAGCAGAAAGATTTTCTTGGCTTGGATAACCAAAATTCTGGAAGCATACGAGTAGAATTACCTACCTTAGAGATGATTGAAGCCAGGACTAGAACATCACCAGGAATTACTCTCTTTGTCTCTCGTCTCTATGTCTCAAGGTGTGTTGGCTTCATTCTCCCACATTGGGCTTTCCATGAGTCAAGGATGTGGCCACCAGGACCTCCTGGCTCCGAGTCTCTTACAACTTTATGACTGAAGTAAAAAGAGGTGTTGGTCTCCCAGCTTGAAAAATCCCAGGTAATGTTTCTGATTGGTTTAGCCTGTTGATTAACCACTCCAGCCAAGGGTGTGAGGTATTATGAGAAGCTCAGCTGGAGTCACATGTCTAATCTACTGCTGGAGAAGGTTACTAGACAAAGTAGGGGAAGGAGTGCTTGGCAGCCAATAACAGTAGGCACCTATCACAATCTTTTATCTAAGTATTATCATGATGTGCATCATTAGTCTCAATTTGTTTTAATCAGTAAATTACATATCACAGGCTTCTTTACATATGAACATATATTATGCTCAGTTTATTCAATAGTCTACACTCAACAGAACAGAAATATGAACTGTTTTGGTTTTTTTTTCCAATCATTTCTTTCAACCATATTCCATGAAATCTCCCTTTCCTGCCCTTAAGAATATCTTGGGCAGATCTCATAGTTTTCTGGTTACTTTTAATTATTAAAATGCGCTTTCCTATCTAGAGTAGTTTAAAAACTAAATCTTACATCCAATATGATGTTCATTCTCTTTCTCAAACTACCAGGCCAGGGTAAGTTTCAGGAAGGGGCTTGAGGTAAAGAAGGGCATGACTTGCCTTTTCACTTCTCCTGCCCTCCCTCTTCTGTGGTTGGAGTGAGAAGGAGGGAGAATAAGAAAGATATGTGTCTTTATATTTATGTGGCTGTTGTGGGATGAACTGCATTCCCCTAAAATTCATATATTGAAGCCCTAACTTCCTATACCTCGGGTTGCACCTATTTTTGGAAACAGGGCCTTAAATGAGGTGATTAAGTTAAAACGAGATCATCAAGATGGATCCTAAGTCAACCTGACTGGCTTTCTTTGTAAGGACAGGAAATATGGACATAAAACAAGATACCTTGTGTGCATGCCCACAAGGATGACCATTTAAAGCAAACCAGAGAGGCCGCAGAGGAAACCAGCCCTTGATTAGTTCCAGTCTCCAGAAATGTGAGAAAATAAATTTCTGTTGTTTAAGTCATTTGTCCTTAACCTTTT